TATTTCAATTTTGAAAATCTAAAAATTAAAACAATATAATCCCTACTGGGTTTTTTGTAGATTTTTGAAATTTTTTTATAATTGTCCAAGACTAGTTCATGATGTTAAATCATAAAGAAATAGTATAGATATATGATAATAAGTCTCGAATTTTGGCGCGGAATTCATTCACCCATTTGGTTATATGGAGTTTTGACATTATAGCTTATGTCTATAATGAAAATCCCCAACCTAAACCATCAGTTGTAAACCATAATTTCAATAACTCATACTGGTTTGTAACCCTCATTTGATCCCAGTTATTAGGTGGACACTCATAGTCACTTCGACCCTTCTCATAGGTCGTCCATAAATTGTAGTCTCACCTTCTTGAATTTATACCATACATAATTTAAATACATCAATAAATATCGGTTATATATTCTTCGATATTGTTAATGAAGTTCAATATGTTTTACGATATACATGTTTGTATTCTGTAAATGTCATAAGAACATTCAATGATGTTTAGTGCCTATAAGAAACAATAAGACATATATTTTTGTTGCATTTATCTTAGTAATGAGCTAGATAGTGTTATTTAATATTACAATTACAGTATTAAGTACATATCTTTAATATAGTTTATACTTTCATCACTTATTAATCTTCTGTTTAGATATATACTACTGAATATGCTACTGTTAAGAACAGTGGCATTGTCCATTAGTGATACATAGTGAATATTGAATGTATTCTAATGTAATTGTCTTTAACTGATTATATTAAAAAATTCGGCATTGAATACAAAAAAGGCAATTCTAGTTTATATCATGATACTGTTTCAATAACCTTAATTTTTACTAACTTGAAACTTATTGCATTTCTAAACATAATAAAAGACAATTATTTATTACGTAATTGTTTGTTGACTTCCAAGTTCCTCTCAGATACAATAAATTAAACTTCTTGTGACCTTCTAAGTAGTTTTCTAATAATATCAATTATGCGATTTAGCAATCATATGAAGGATTGTGTACTTCAATTTTAACTAAACATTTTATCGGGTATCTAAGAAGACCAACCTGAATATGCGTCAAGCGCAGTTGATCACTCCTATAATTGAAAGTTACTTATCTAACTCTATCTGTCAATTATTTCAAGAAATATTTTGATAACTATTACACATAAAGTAATTAATGAAAAAAGACAATAATATCAGATACCTATCAACTTTTATTTCCATAATTTGTTTATTTATCAAACAATAACCTACAACATTAGAAAATAAACTTTATTCATTTCCTAATATTAAATATCAAAGTGACTGGTGAATCGACTAATCCTATGATAAAAACATTGATATTTAACAACATTCTGTCGACGTTTCATGTTGATTGCTTTATTCTCAGACACCAGACAAAAAAATAGACGATTCAATACCAAACTTTTAATTATGGCTATTTTATAAATTATTGACTCATAAATTTCATAAAGAATCTAATGAGATATCACTCTTTCTGATAGTTTTATTCTCTGAGCTGGATATTTTAGTCATGGAGCTTTCATCATTTTTCTAAACAACATCATCATCACAAACTTGAGGTTGAAGTGAATTATGTTCAAATTTCTTGACATATGGCTTATAGCTTATCCTATAAATATCGATGTTGATTGGTTCTTAACAATAAGTCAGTCAGTCAGCTACTATGTAGGATGAAGCATATATATATATATGTATATATATCTGTCCAAGTTGCCATACCGCATCAGCACAACAAGATGAATACCGGATTCATAGCAGTGGTTAGGTCAAAGGTAGTCATATATAAGAGAAAGATTGCATATAGAGATATAGTACAGGAAGAAAGAATTAGTTCGTAGAAAGAAAGATATGAAGCGATTTTAATCTCATAGTTTAAGGGAATGCAGAAAGTGTATGGACCTACGCCATAGTGATCGATTCTGAGCCATGTCACCCAGAGTCTCCAACCATTGAATACCATAGTCATGAGGACCTCAACCAAGTAGTTTGCATCAACTAACATGGCTCAGGTTAGAAGTTAGTGACTTGAAGTACTGATGCCACGTTTTTGGTTTGGCCATCCCTAACTTTCTTCCAACCATCCTCAATACGAGTCAACACTGAGCGTCGTGTTAATCAGAGTTCAGGCATAAGTAACACGCGACCCAACAATCTTAATAATAAAACCTTACCACCATGAAAAAAGTTTTTTCTTACGACAAAAACAAAATGACTTAAGAAAAATATTAATTACTTGACTAACAAAAGTGTTGCACGTTTATTATTTTTTTAAAATAAACCTACATTATTTGAAATGTAGACTCTTTAAAAAAACGAAACAAAACAAAACAAAAATTGGAAAACATTTTCATTCCAATGCACATACAATTGATTGAATATTATCTTATTGACCGATCATTCTTTGTCTTTTTTTTCTTTTGCTTTTCCTCTTTTCTTTTAAGTCACTCGTATACTATAAAATTACTTATTCTAAGATACATTAGTGAAATTAAAATTTTATTTAAATATGACCTTATTAAATCTAACTAAAAAGAAAAAAAAAGTTACAAATATCTTTCACTTCATAGAAACACAAGTTGTATAAGTTCATAATAGTTATATTATACTAAAACTTCCGGTCAGTTAAATTAAATTTGTTCCTTTAAATATGTTGCATGTTTAATTTAAGTATATAAGTAGATAGTAATTTTAATTATGGTTATTTAAATGATGAGAAGATTGTGTAGTATTACCGTTAACATAATCGACAACAACAACAATGAAAAAATGCTGAGGTCATGAAAATTCCAAATATCATTGATAATATTTAATTTTACAAATTTTCAACATTACCCACGTGCATATAACCACTGCCAGAAAGGTTCTACTTACTGCCTTCTAGTGACGGGAGTGTTGTCTACGAAATCAAGAGGGCAAAATGCCAATGTCCGAAGCTTTAACCGGGTTCGTGGATATAGAGGATTCATCACGAGGAGTTATTCGGAAAACCCTGATTCCAAAACAGTGGTGCACATGGGCTCTAGGTATCTAAGGAAACAAATGGCGTATCAGCCTATAGTTAGGCATCGGCTACCATTGGACTGCATCTCTTGACGTCGCTCTACTGTCTTGTGGATTAGACCTTCAGATAAAAGACTAGGGATGCGGACCCCCTTATGAAAATCACCCGCTTTGGTTTGGGTACCCAGGCAATATCTCAGCCCTCAGAAAAATCGAATGACGAAGTAAGGCGCATATATATTTGGCGCCTCATTGTATCAACGTTTATGTGTTTGAATAAATAATAAATAAATAAATCCAAAGGTATTTTGAATCATATGGCTAATCAGTAAAACTATATTTTAACAACAAATTGTCTGAATAACAAACACTAAAAAATAGTTGTTTTATGACACTCATAACTAAATACAGTGTACAAGTATTATAACAGTAAAAGCAAGTTAATAAGTTTTCATTTTAGCTTTAAAACAACGAACACAATTACTTTGAATCAATCCCAAAACCTAAAAACTAAGCACTATACAGTACTTATCAATAACAGGCTGACTGTTCCAGAATAATTAGAGTATTTTAAGAATCAGGGTTTTCCGACTAACTTCCACAGATGGATCCTCCATGCCCAACGACCAGGTTAAAGAGTCCAACATTTAGTTCTCATCCTCTCAACATGATAAACAACACTTAAAAAGACACTTTTCTGTACTACTGATCTCGAATGTACTATCCAATACTTAAAACACTGAAATAATGCTCAAAAGACAAAGTAACGATTATGCTTGATTTTATACTACAAGATAAGTAGTAATTAATGGTAGCGTTCACTTTCTTTTAGTTATATATACATTTTACAATCTACATTAGATAATTAAAAGTAAATTATTCAGATAATAGTTATCTCATATTTTAAAAATTACTATTTTTCTTTCAAATCGTATTATCATTATTACTATTATTTAGTAAATTAATAAATAGACAGTAAATATAATGTAAACTACATTTACCGTAATCATTTATTTTAATCTATTATATTACTTTTATTAATGTGTTTTATTTAAAGTAACTTTTTTGTCAGATGAGTTTTGTGGATATAATTGTAATTTCAATGGTCAAGAACATGAATCAGTTGAAGCTAGACAACCAGCAGTGCGCATCCACGACCTCGCCCCCTGCGAGATTTGAACCCGGGACGTACTGGTTTTGCGCGCCAGCATTTAACCACCAGACCACTGCGAATAATAAACAATACTAAAAATGAGTTAATATATAACTACACAAATGATAAGATCAATAAATGATCAGTTAGTGATTAAGGAATTTAGTTATTAGTTATTAATTCTATATGGTATAATGCCGTTAAATTCAGTAGTCATATAAAATTATGTAATAATTAGGATTTTAATAATATTGTACATTTGATAAACTTTGTAAAGTGTTTATTTGTAAATTATTAACGCCTTTTTATCGCGTCCCTGAAGAAAAAGATAACTAGGAAGGTTAAATGAAAATTATAGATGTTATTCGATTTCCTCCATGGTTGTACGCTTAATTAGGTTCACGGTAATTATACTTCAAAAAAGATTACTCATATTTGAACTCAAAATTTCTGGCAAATGGAAATGTGTCACATCGTAACACATACAAAATTACTCTACACGAATACTTGAAACATCATTTTTTGTTGTATAATTATAACCATACCACCAAACTAATTTTGATAAAACTATACATAAATTGATGTGATTTTTACCATAAGTTCATATACGTTAAATGTTTAACGAAGACTATACAACTGTTTTGTATTTTATTAATAAATTTTTCAATAATGAACTTAAGTTTACACTTCTGTACTACAATTATTAATAAATAAGTTCTACAACATTAAATCTAATTAAACACTAAAACAAACAACAGAAATATATAACTTAGAAAAAGGTTTTATTATTATACAATAATTGAATCATATTTTAAAACTAACCTTGGTCTCCCATAAGTTAAATAATATGCATTCATTTCTGTCAACAAATCTTGTATAGCCTTTTTATCTTGAAATATTGATGATATTCTTTGCATTACTTTATTTTCTAATTGTAATCCATTATCTAAATAAGATTGTTGTGTAGTTTTTGGAGTTTTAATTAATTTGACTACAGGTGAATCAATTAAATATGTAGGTAATGTAGATGAATCTGATTCTAATATTGTCTCTGAATCTGTTGACGTTTCCGTTAATGGTGATAAAATAGTATTATGTAAATGCATAGCATCTATGCAAAGATTATTATTCACGTAAACTATTGAATAATTAAATAAGATTATTATAATTAGAATTTGTATAGTTTTATTTAATAATAGATAATGCTTCTTTTTAGTTGCTTCTATATAATAATCAGTAATATTATGTGTTAAAGGGTTTTTTAAAATTTTCATAATTTCAACCTTTTCAATGTTATTATTATTATAAGAAATCATTTGATCACATTTAATGTAAGCACTTTCAGTTGATTTCAATGATAAATTTTCAAAATTTACGCGTATATATTTCATAGATGAATTTAAACGATTCATTGAAATATTACGTTTTGTCCATGACAAATGAATTCAGTATTAGAAGTCAATTTGTTCTAATAATTAATTAATTGTTTAATAATTAAATAATTAAATTGTTTAATAGCATAGATTATAATAGAATAATAATAATAATGATAATTGACTAATGGATTAATAAGCATTAAATAATAACATCTAGGTTGATTTTGTGTAAAGAAAATAAGAACAATCAAGTTACAAGGATATACATATATATACGTATGTAAATCCCTGTAAAATAATTTCCATTAAGATATTGGTAAATATGATTTTATAAAATCACTTAAACAGGGTTTCTTGATTTGTGCATATGTGCGTGTGTGTGCGTGTGTATATGTTTACATTTTTCAATAGTCTATAAAATACATTTCAACTCATGTTATTAGAGAAAATTAACAAGCCCACTCAAATATGACGACTATAAGAATCGACTCCCACGCATATAAAATCCACCATATAAATTATCCAATCTTTATTCTATATTTATTGAGAAATTTTGTCCTGAGGAAATTTTTGCATTTTTTTTGTGAAAAATATTTTTTGGAAAATTATTATTAAATATAGTTTTAGAAATTATCATTCAACTAAGGAATTTAATATGGATACAATAAGAAGTATTATTAAACTTATATCATAATCACCAACGTGTTTAACTCAATTCAACAATGAATAAAAAACACAAAGTAAGACAGTTATAATGAAATCTCTAGTACTTATAGTACTAGGTGGTAATTATGTACTCATATAATTATCGGAATATGATCACGATAAATTTTCTAAACAATTTTTTGTAGAAAATATAGTATTGGAGAATATAAGTCATTATGATATCTGTAAATCAACAAACGTCTAACAAAGATTGACACTTTAAAAAAAGGAAAGTTTTTTTGTTGTTGTTAATATGAAAAATAATTAGTGCAAAAGTTGATAGAGAGGGACTTCTAATTTCTTCCTTAAAATACACAGAACAATAGGATTGTTTCGATTAACAAGTGATTTTGAATAATATAATATCGAAATTGTTTCGATTATATTCATGAGTTGATATTTAATACTACACTGATCAGTGATGTAGAGTTTTAGATCTAATGATTAATTAACTTTATATTATGAAAGTAGATGGTAAAAAGTTCTTTTAAATAAAGGGTAGTTAATTTTTAAGATAATGAATACCATAAAAAGTAGTATACATTTTTACAATTTAATTGTTCCAAATTCTTTATTACCAAAAAAGAAAGGTTGTTCGTCAAAGGAAAATATTACATCTTCTCTAAATGTAGTCATAATGTATTTCTACTGATATATCAGCAATTATACATTTCTTGAAATTTTCTTTATCTATTTCAACTAATGAAGAACCTTATTGTTTATGTGGTTTTTAAATGATTTCAGAGAAGTATTTAATTATATCTGTATTTAATCTTAAAGATATCTTTGTTAAAGTACATTGCCAATACAGTGATATAACAAATAGCATATTTCAATAAACTTCATACAATAATAGTAATAATAATATATAACCAAATAGTAAACTGCATATTTGGTTAGAGGATTAAATTACAGCTGAATGTTTTTATCGATATTTTGAATACTTTAACAATAGAAAATCATAATAAAAGATAAACGGTTGCTATAACAAACTTACTGAATATTTTATTCAGAAATTCATTTCACTATCTCTCTTACTGTTAAACTAATCAGTTTACGGTCATTTACCTACTTACTTACGCCTGTTACTCCTCTTAAAGGAGCATAGGCCGCTCACCAGCATTCTCCATCCAACCCTGTTCTGGGCAATCCTTTCCAGCTCCTTCCAGTCATCATTCATCCTTTTCATATCTGCTTTTATTTCCTGACGTAATGTGTTATTTGGCCTTCCTCTTTTCCGCTTCCCTTCTGGATTCCAAGTTAGGGCTTGCCTCGTGATGCAGTTTGACGATTTGCGTAATGTATGTCCTATCCATTTCCATCGTCTTTTCCTAATTTCTTCTTCAGCTGGAAGCTGGTTTGTTCTCTCCCACAGAAAGCTGTTGCTCATGGTTACAGTCATTTAACTAAGAGTTTAAGTTTTATTTAATTTGAGTATAAGTTCTAAACAATATCCAACCTTCAACTATTCACTTTAAATCAAAATAAAGACAAACAAGGTGATGTTGTAATGAACAGAACACGGGTGGGGACAATCGAATGTATTTAACACAAAACCACAGGACTTGTTATTAAAATCTAATAATCAAATAGTAAATACGTAATTTGCAAAATGTCCACCGATTGTCTCAGAATGACTCAGACTTCATTGTTCTTGCATTTTCGTACGAATTGCATCCTGTTTCCATTTTTTACTGTTCGATCCTCTTCTCTCTCTGCTTCCAGACCTTCTGTTCACGACTAACATCATATACTACTTATGTCAATATAAGTAGCACATACCACAATGTGACATTCTATTTAAATATGGAATATTTATGTTGTCTTTTCTTTCGAATTTCTTTTCACTACTGTCAAGTAAAACAGTGTATAAAACTCTGATTTAGTTTTTAAAAATCAAGGTTAATAATTGAACATTTTGTCACTTTTCGAACTTGTATTAAAAGGAACTTGATAATGTAGTGAATGAGAACACAAATGGGAACAATTGAATGTATTTGGGCACAAAATTACAGAACATCTTAGTGAAATCTGAGAAACATACAGTAAGTACTTAATTTGTAAAATGTCAATCAACTGTCTCAAACTTGATTGTTCTTGTATTTCCATAGCAATTGCTTTCTGTTCTCGTTCTTTACTCCACGATCTTCTCAATCTTCTGCTGTCTGACATTCTATTCCTGACTGGAGTTATATGCTACTTATGTTGACACAAGTAGTACACACTACAATAGTACATACGACTGAATTAAACATCTAATCTATTTGCTTGTAATTAGTACAGTATCAAGTTGGTTTTGAAACTTTTAGATCTCTTACTACACATCACAATGTGATATAATACATAAAATGACTATTAGTAATACATATAACATTGATTTATGTTAAGGTAATTATTCGTTATACTTTATGTTAAGAGTCTGATATTTTTTTGGAACTTCTTAATTTACAAAAGAAATTGAATTGCACTTACTCAATCGTATATCAATTATCTCATTGACACTACTGATTGTCAGTTCGTGTAAAGTCTAACTTGGTTTTAATACACTGTTTATTCTTATGCAGCGAATTTCCATTCCAAGGGGATATTTAAACACGATCATAATCATTATATGAAAACCCATTTATTTAGATACGCTAGCATTATATTACAGTTAAGAATTAATTTATTTTGAGAAGAAACTCCTGATAAATTTCATGTGTTGATGAATTCGATACTTGAATTCAAAGGTTAAGAAATGCAGAAAGAATTTTGCCTTTTTTATTACAGACTACCATACAAGTGGTCTACATATTTTCAAAAACAATTCATTATTATTTAGGTTGTTTACACCTCACCTTATAAATGTTTCATAATTTATAGGGAATTACTTATCTTTTTACGCCTGTTACCCCTCGTAGAAGAGCATAGGTCACTCAACAGCATTCTCTATCGAGCTCAATCCTGGGCAGCCCTTTCCAGTTGCCAGTCATTATTTTGATGTCTGCTATCGGTTCTCAGAACAACTTGTTCCTTGGTTTTCCTCTTTTCTTCAACCTCGTGATTCAGTTCAATGTCCTATCCACCTGAAAGGTCTTTCCTTAATTTTCTCTTTAGCTGGAAGTTGATATTTTCTCTCCCACAGAGGGCTGTTGCTGATGGTATCCAGCCAATGGATGTTGAGTATCTTGCGTAGACAACTGTTCATGAATAACTGTACATTTTTGATGATAGTTGTGGTAGTTCTTCAAGTTTCAGCTCTATACAGTAGAACTGTCTTAACGTTTGTATTGAAGATTTTGACTGTGATATTGGTTGACAGTTTTATTGACTTCCATATGTTCTTCAGTTGTAAAAATGCTGCCCTTGTTTCGCCAATCTTTATCGTTACGTCTGCACCAGATCCTCTTTCTTTATCAATGATGCTTCCCGGGTACGTGGTTTCTACATCTTTCAGAGATTCCTCACCAAGTTTGATTGGGTTGATGTTCTCCGTATTGTATTTCAGGATCTTGAACTTATAGGGAATATATATATAATATCTAGTGAGACATTTCCAATAATGGTGACGCCATTTGTGAAAAAAAACTATTATTACATTAAAGAAAATTATCATTGATTTTGTTTAAACACGATGGATTTCTTTCCTCGCCATTAAAATTTTCATTCATTTTCAACATTTATTTTTCTACCAGGAAAAACTAACTTGGTAACTAAGTTCTGTTTGATTAAGAATTAATTTTGAGCAATACAAAGTTGTAACCTCTTTAATATGACACACTTGCCATAGTAACTATTTATTGTTCATTATTATTTCCCACTGATATAGTATTCAGAATAATTATTTACATATGTTAAACATTCGTTTATAATTTAACTTAACTAAATATGTGATTTATTTCCTAAAATCCAGTATTACAGACATTTATTACTTACTACTTATTTATAATTATCCTGATAAAAACAATATTCTCAAAGGAAAACTCAGATATTATAAGATATGAATACTTTATCACATGTTTAAATACTTTTGTAATTATAGACTAATGAATTGTCTTCGAATGACTGAAAGATAAATTAATAAATTTTGTAATATCATTTTCAAGAGGTAAGATTACCTTTTAAGACACCATATGACTGGGCGTAATTCTGATACTTATGTGAGTAGATATTTTACAGCAAATTGATACTTTGAATAGACTTTTCATATTTTTAAATGTATATATAGTTTGTTCAAATTTATAATGTAAGAGTTGAATAAATGAATAAATATTTGAGTTATTGAAACTTAACTAAATGCGGTTGAATAACGACAACTGGTGTATAATTAGGTAATGTACTGTGCCCGAGTT